CAAAACACCATTACTTAAAGGCTTTGTCTGTTTGTGTAGTTTTCAATTGAGGTACTCATACAGGCTTTACCATTACTACCATTAGTGGTTATGAATATATTTAGTAGTTCTATAAAAATAACATAAATTTCTCAAAAGCACAAAGAATTGGTTGAGTGTCGGGACCGGGAATTCACATAAAACCTGATTGTAATTCACGAAAATTATATGATTCTTATAATTCATTATTTGTTTGAAACCGAATTTAAAGGCAATAACAATACATGTAATGCTATTCTTGTAATGAATTCTCACAACTTTTTTAATTTTTATGATTGAATTCTCATATTTTAAAATTTAAAACCATTAAATATATGAAGTGTTTCTCAAATATTTATTTTTTGTTGCTTTAAAGTCAAAACGCGTCAAACATTTGATTTTGTTGTTAATTGCCTTATTGTGCACACAATTTGCAATATTTATCATAAATTAAACACATGTATAATATAATAGCGATTTGATGTCAGAGACATTGTTTGGTTAAAATCCCTGAACCTTAAGGTCAAGTGCTTCTCAAAGTCTCGTTTTATTATACAATCAAATCAATTGTTGAATTTTTATTCCCTTTCTATGAGTTATTAAAACTCTTAATGAAATTCAATATTTGTTTTCAATCCTTATTTGTAAAAACAATTATATTTTACTTTCAGAATATTTAATATACGTTAATTTAACGAATTTTCCTCTTATGATGTGGTGTTTGTGAAGTATTGAGTCCGACATAACACCCGCTCAATGCCATTGAAATGACCCACAAGTAATTGATAGAGAGCTCAATATAAATAAATAAAGCACACATTTAAGTGGATTTATTGTGAAAATTATTTATAGCTATATTACGTGACTTGTTTGTCTCAAATACCCCCCGAAGTTCACACAATTCCCTCAATCCTTATGTTTATTACAATTTAGTAATAATATATTTGTATATATTTTGTGTTTAATATATTTGTTGTATATTTAATGTTGATTTTGTTATTGAGAACCATTTATTTAAATTAAAAACAAACATATTTTTGTCGTAAAGTTTATCATAAGATCTAATATTTTTTGTTTTTACGACTACTTGAGAGTCGAGTGGTTTGGCCTAAAAATTATGCCGAAATGTATTTTGTTTTTATCAATAAATGTGTTTAATATTAATATTCAATCGAAATTAAGATCAGTTATAATTTTCATAATATTTTTTAATTAATTCTTTTGTTTCTTAATTATTGGACTCAATGTTTTGAAAACCAATAATTATTACATTATATTATAAGCTTTAATAATAATAATATTTATAATTTGTTTCGTAAATGTGTTATCAATGCCTTAAATCAAAGTTTTTTGTTTTATTTGAATAATTGTGTTGTAATTAAAGATTATAACAAAACATTTCTTTCAACAAACATTTCTATAAATTTAAAACTCGCATTGAATTTATATTTTTATTATATATTTAATTGAATTAAACATACTTTGAATTTTATTTATTATATTTTTAGTAACTATTTATATATAAAACTATTGAAATGTTTTGCATTTTAATGACTTTTGTTGCCATCACTTCCTCTCAATTCAATGGTTGCTTCCCTTCTCTCTGTTAATAACATTATAATAAGTTATAATTAATGACAACATTGTATTGATTTGATTTGTTTTCATTCGATATAATGAACACATTTTCATAATATTTTAATGTTTATTATCTTCTCAGTAAACCATATGTTTTAGATATAGTTTATGCATAAAATTTGGCTTTAGTTTGTTGTTAATTATAGCATAGGTTTACTGTATTTCCTGTTATAAAGAATTGAATCAAAATTATTGTGTTTTCTACTTTTAAAAGTCGTGAAAATACAATATTTAATTAAAAATAATCACAAAATCTCATTTGACTTCTCATTAACACATCGAATGAATGGCAATAATTCCTATGAATTATTACTTTTTTGAAATCATAAAACGTTGAAAATTGAATGCAATTTAGTTTTGCCCTATTATTTGAACTGTTTTCAAAAATGTTTCCAATATTTTATATACTATTTACAGTTAAATATAATTAAATGCAATTAAATTTCACACTTTTTTCTAATTAAATAAATGAAAACTCGATTACAAAATAGAGTACAAAATTATAAATTGCTATTTTTAACTATTATTTCAAAGAATTTTGAGTTTTTTTTTGCTTTTATTTCAAATCTGTTAAATATTTCTTTTAAATATGATTAGTTATATATCCTATACTTTTTGATGAAATACATTTTAAAACTGCTCATCATTTTAATTACTCTGTAATTTAAAATAGTATTTCTTTATAAAAATTTAATACTTTTTATATTTATATCATTTGTCACTAAAATATAATTATAGTGATTATAATTTTGTGGTTTATATGCATTTAGTGAATATATAAATAGGTTTGAACTGAATTTTATTCATCCAATTCATATGATTAGCAAAATATATAATCTATAGTTTACTATCGAATTACAAAATACTGTTATAAAACTATTTTTCGATCTCGTTTTGGTCCACAATTTGATTGTGTTTTGAATACTAATCATATGATTATCCAAAGGCTATGAATGCGTTGAAATAGTTTTGGCAAAAAATGCCGTTTTGTTCATCACTCAAATCAGTTATCAATTTAAATATAGACTTTATATCACATTACACATACTTTTTACTAAAACCTTTTGACTGAATTTAGGAAAACATTTTGTCTACAGTTAGATAATCCAATCCTATTTTTAATATTTATCCAGTTGTCGTATCCAGTATTTATAGGTATAGTGAACCCCTTTACAGCGAATGTCACTTATTAGCCAAAAGCGACCCTTTTTAGCCACTTTAAGGGAATCTCTTTTTAATTACATCTTTGAACACAAAAAATCTAAGAAATGAGTTCTAAAAATAAGTATTGAAAGCAATGCATGCACTCAATCAATGGACGAGATTATATCAAAGCATTTATATATTTAATATGATTTTCACGAATGTTATCTCTCGTGTGATAATCCATGGGTTATATTAAACCCCTTTTTCGTGCATTTAATATATTTGTCATAATTTATATGCTGTAAATTGGGTTCAATTCAAAAACAATTTTAAACACAAACTTATCATAAGATGCCATAAAAAATGAGTTTTAAAATTATATTTAGTATTCAATTACTTAATAATTTAATGTTTTTGGATTAAGTATTTGATTAGTTTTAAACGTTTTTATGAGTGATTTTAATCAATGTATTTAAAGGAGTAATTTATATAAGTTTGCAATCGATGTGTTGACTCTTATAATTGGTTATAAATATGAGATAAATATCTAAAATCTTAAGTAATTCTCCAAATAGTCTACAATTGATTACCAGATCCTTAAAGCGAAACAACAAATGTTGTTTATGTTTACCCATAAAGTGTAGAAAAATTACTTTTTAAAAAAAGTTATAATCATTTTCAGATCTCAAAACATAAATATAAGTTTTGTTAAATAAAAAATGAGTTCAAAAACTTGAAATTTATAAATATTTTCCATTTTACAGAAACACTGTTTCTCCTAATGTATAGTTATTTTTAATTATATTTTATGTGCTATTAATTGATTACTAATTTTTTATAATGCATTTTTAATCATTTCACTAATCATTTAGAATTTAATAATTAATTGAATTGAATTTTGATTATGGTTTACAGGCGAAGACCTAATGGATTGGATAGCCGTACATGTGGTGGACTTTTTTAACCGAATAAACCTGATATACGGAACGGTATGCGATCACTGCACAGAAGATACCTGTCCTCGAATGAGCGGAGGACACAAATACGAATATTTATGGGCCGATGGCGTCAAGTATAAGAAACCCGTACCCCTTCCCGCCCCCCGCTATATAGCCCTCCTAATGGACTGGACTGAGTCACAGATCAACAACGAGGCGATATTCCCGACCAAAAACGACGTGCCGTTTCCCAAACAATTCATACCCACGTGTAAGAAGATATTGGCCCGACTTTTCCGGGTCTTTGTTCACGTCTATATCCATCACTTCGATAGACTGTTGTCCATCGGAGCCGAAGCTCATTGTAATACATGTTACAAACATTTCTATTATTTCGTCAATCACTTCGAACTCGTCAGTCACAAGGAGTTCGAGCCTCTCGTGAGTCCACACTTACATACAGTTATATTTGGCTATATTTGTCCACAAAGTGACACAAATGCATCGCTTCCCTACACTTCCGTTACTATTATTAGTTTTATATAATTCTTGAATATAAATATTTAAATGAAAAGATTTTTCATTTATTAAATAAACACAATTTTTAGGTAATTAGTGTTTTTCAGTTGAAATTTCGTTAAAAGTTTTCCCATTCTATGTTTGAAATAATAAACATTTTATGTAATATATAACTAGTTTTTTAGGGGTTATTAGAGTGTTGTTTATGCGATTGTTTGGTGAAAGTGATGTTAAATAGTTATCTCATGACTACTGGCCCTCACATTCACACACAGAGTCCTCATTTTAATTAAGACACCTGTCATTAAGGGCTTTGAGTTAATAATCGCTTTTGTTTTGCATCAAAAAGTTTGTTTAAAACAACATTTTTTATATTATTTTTACTTTCATATCTCTTTATGGCTGAGAAATGAATCTCATTTTCAAAACTAATTATTTGTTAAAATCCTTCACATATTAGTGATAATAAAATAGTAAATATAGTAAATGCTTGCAAAAAGTGTTCTTTAAAATTGTTTTTCCTAAACATCTGTTCAAACATTCATTTTTAAAATTATATACTTTCAATTTAAACATATGTTATATTGTTAAATATAAAATACTTTATTTAATAATTATATGTATTCAGAATTAATGCACGAAATATTTCTGTAGAGAGAGAGA